AATACGAATTTTAATTAATTGAAAATTAATAATAGAAATTTCATATATTAATGAAAGCACAAAGGTGAAATGAATCTTTAAAATATACATGTACATCGATAATAAATAAATGAATGTGAATGTTAATTAATTGATAATTAATAATAGATGATACTACAAAAAAATTGCACCTGAATGAACTCGAACTAGATGATTGGACTCCGCACGATCTGATCTTCAATACCTTAAATAAAGGCGTCGATGTGTGTCCTTGTCGACTCTCCGACACCTAAGTCAGGAAGAGAAATAGTGCAAAAGATTGTATGCTGAATATTAATGAAAAACATACATGAATAATGAGGCTGGGTTCTGTATTTATAGATATTGGAGATGAACTGATGAAGTCCTAAAAGGATTCAATCTCCTGTAGTCCTTATCCTTGCTGTACAAGGTATTTGTGTTGTGTTAAAAGTGCAAAATTTCAATTGGAGTCAAATTTGTAATAGTTGGGGAGCTATGGTCAAAGTAAGATTGCTATTTGTAGAAGGTGTGAGATACGGTCAAGGAGATTTGATCATAGGGCACGATAGCCTGATCTCGAAGATAAAGCTCGACCTCATAGACCAACCCTGACCTTGTGGTTGGAGGACAAGTTCGGGGTCCGATGCTCGAGCTCGGGCTTTACACACGGACTCACCTATAGAAAATTCATACATTAATGCACACCGGTAAAATGAATTAGTTAAATTTAAATGTACATTGATGGTTATTACATGATTAAATAAATTAAATACATATTGAAAAAAAAAAGTATTATTAAAATAATTAAATTATAATAGGAATAGAATCGTAAAAAATAATAATTCTCATGATATGTAATATATTATAGGACCCTGTTTGAGCTACATTATTTTTTCATTCTCATTATTTTATTCATTTTTAATTACACATTATTCAATAAAATAATATTTTTTATCACATCAATAATTTTTCCTTCTTTTTCAACCACATATTTTCTACTACGTCAATAATAAAAATGCATTCTTTTT